ATAAAATCAAGACCAAATTGGGACCGGACCGGATCAAGACCGGATTGTATCCAATCCAATATTTGGTACTTATATTTTCAAAAAGACTGAACTGAACCGGATCAATTTGGACCAATTTAACCGGAACATACCGTATAGCCAACCCTACCAAACAACGCGGTTTAAGGGGAAAAAAAGGGTTAACAAACATTTAATTGTAGTTGGCATATATATAAGGTAGACTTAGTGTGTCTGCATTTTGGGGGAGAGAGTAAATGGGGAGGGATTAATTAGGGGGTCTGCATATACGTATACAATCACAGGAAGCTCCCCCGTGTGGCGTACGTGTAGAGTACGGCGGACAGGGGTTGGCGGAGAGCGCACTTGGCGCTCCTCCTGGCAGCGGTTTACACAATAACCGCCACGTCAGCCAACGTTTTAACTTTTCAGATAAAACCGCTCCTCTAGGGAGCGGTTTATATGCCAACCCTACCACAAAACGCTTGGGGAGGAAGCGTTTTAGTGTCGGCATGATAAACCGCCCCTGCAGTGCGCGGTTTACCTTACCCATACACAAACCGCTGCCTAAAGGCGCGGTTTGTTGTCGACAGCAGACATAAACCGCTGCCCTAAGGCGCGGTTTGTATCTGGTCACCCGACAGCAGACTTGTCAGCATGCAGGGGGTGGGGTGCATGGCAGACCTAAAACCGCTCCCCCCACCAGCGGTTTGTGGTCCAAAATTCGCCTATAAAAGGCTGATTCAGAGAAATCAAATTCTTCACACTCCTCCTCTTCCTTCTTCAAATTTCAGTTTTGCACCTTTAAATTATTTAGTTTTTGCGATTAACGTTAATTCGTAAGTTTGTTTGTATTACTTTTCATTGCCCTTTGTGATTTTATGTTACTAACTTAATTACTTTTCATTTCCCTTTGTGATTTTATGTTAGTAACTTAATTACTTTTCATTGTCCTTTTTTATTTTATGTTAGTAACTTATTTACTTTTCATTGTCCTTTGTGATTTTATGTTAGTAACTTAACTACTTTTCATTGTCATATCCCTCTTGTATTACTTTTCATTGTCGTTTGTGATTTTATGTTAGTAACTTAATTACAGTTTTATTGCAGATGGCATTCCAAAGGTTCACGCTTGGGTTGCGGTGGAATGGTTACACGGAAGAGACCGAAAAGGGTGTAAGTTACGTCGGTGGCAATTTTTATAAAATGAAGGTCCGTACAAGACCGACGCTTGAAGAGCTCCATCAATTGTGCACTCAGATTACCTGCATGGATGGCACTAGAAGAGTTGATCAAATGGTCTATCGATATCCAAACAGACATGATGGGTCGCTGTGGAATGAGGAATTCCTCCTTACCACTCAGGAGGACGTTGATGCCATGGTCCAATTTTTGACCACCAATAAAATTAAGCAAGCGGAGATGTTCGTTTACACCGAGGCCGTCGAAGGCGGTGTAGGTCATTCTGGAGATGGTCAAACATCTGGTATCCACGGTGGGAGTGTATTATACGAAGATCATCCCCACCAGGATTTCCAAGACTCGAGCTGGAGGCAGGAGTACCATCATGGAATTGGAGGTCATCATCAATCCTTCCCGTCATATGAAGAAGAAGCTCAACAGGCGGATCACAACCAACAAGCAGGCTACCGGTACCCACCCGATTACAACTTCTATCAAAGCGGTGTTAGTTACCAAAACTACCATTACGGAGCTGGTGAAGGTGCCTTTCATTATGACAATCAGATGGAAGAAGAGGTCAATCCAAGTCCAGTTAGTGACCCTGAGATAGGAGAAGAGGAAGGCGAAGTTAGTGCAGACAGCTCCAATCCGCTGGAAGGTGCTGATGATTCCGGTCCAGATTCAGACGCAGACGGTGATGAGGTACCTCGCGACCGTGTACCTATTCCATACTACAATCACACTCAAAATGAAGATTGGTATGTTGATGCCGGCATGGACCCGCCAGAGGTGCCAATATGGGGTGCACTCACTGGCTTTACCAAGGGCCAACAATTTGGAACAAAGAATGAGGTCCGACACGCTATTGCCACTGAAGCAATGACTCGGAGTTTTGAATGGAAAACAACCCATTCCGACACAAAGAGGCTGATGGTACGATGCAAGAATGAAAATGAGGGATGCAAAGCTAGGGTCCGGGCCATCAAGAGCAAGAGAGTCGGCCATTGGGTCATATCCCGTGCGGTGAACACACACACATGTGTGTCATCAATAACATCCCAAGGCCATCGACAGTTGAAATCAAGGGTGGTTGCCGCGGCTATCAAACATCTAATTGAGGAGGAGCCTGGCCTGAAGTTGAAAACCATCATCGCCGACATTTCTAATCGTTATGGTTATATCATTAACTACAAGAAAGCGTGGCAAGGGAAACAGAAAGCCATGGTTATATCATTATCTAATAAACATAATTTAATAATATTATAAGATGCAATATTAATTAAATCAAGGTACATTATCTAATATACATAATTTTAACATAACTTACTTAATTTTCAATATTTAAGTATAATTATTTTTGGTACATATACACATAAAATCAAATATATTATTTTGTTAATCGTATTGATTATTTTCAATAATTTAAAGCAATACAAGTACACTCGTAAGACTCTTAGGAGAGGTATACATCTCCTTAGAAACACAGTCTTTTTGATAGAAAAAGGGGGGATCCGAGGATCGCTTAGAACCCGATTTTCCCAGGTCATGGGGGGATCATGATGATCGCTTAAGTCCCCATTTCCTTATACATGCATTCTTTATAAAGAGTCTACATAAGTGTTGCATTGTATTGATTTAAATTATTGAAAATAATCAATACGATTAACAATTAAATAAATTATTGTACAAACAAATAAATTACTTCAACAAAATATAAATTACAAGTGATGATAAATAATATGTACCTTGTGGTCGTTCCAAACGTCTCTTGAACGATGATTAGCTTGATCATATAAAACACTCGGATCAATCGGTCCTTGATCAACATAATATCGTTGGTTGTAAATATCAACATCCGGCCCAACCTACGATAGCATAACAACAACATAAATCAATTAGTATATAAATTAAATAAATCATTATAACAACAACAATTGAGTAAAATGAGTACGTACCGCTTGATAATCATCATAGAAAATGCCCTCTTCTTGAAAGAAATCAGACATTTTTTCGGAATCCGGACAGAGATTCGACGGTTTTTTAGTGGTATGGAACGCAACAGAGTTTAGATAGTTTGGAAATTCATACTTGTTTTAATTAATTTGTTCTTTCTTCTTTGGTTGCATTCATATATGGTACATTAGTTGACAATATTCAAACAAGAGGAGGCATCAATATCACAGCTATACGATTTTTTGCATAGTGATTATCGCATGAGGGACTAATTCATTCGGTTACGTACGTTTACTGAACCATATATCATTCTTGACTATATAAAAGTCCACGCTGCCATCTCATCCGACACACCATCATATCATTATCGTATCATGATAAACAACAACACATGGAACGTAGCCATGGCGGTCGTCGCGTTGTTCCTCACTGCAGTCGGGGACTGGAGCGGGCGTAGTAGTGGGGCCCATGCATCGTCCCTCAGCGACTGCCGCTACGTGCTGGACCATGCAAAGGCATGCAAGAACTACATCACCGGCAAGGAAGACGGCGTCACCGACGTCTGCTGCCACGGGCTGCGCAAGCTGGTCCGCAAGACGGCCGGCGACGTGGAGCAGCAGAAGGATGTGTGCAGCTGCTCCGCCAAAATTTTCAAGCGGTTGAAGGACGTGCAAGAAGACAGGCTGGCTCTGCTCTCCTCGAATTGCAGAGCTAGGATCCCTTTCACGCTCGCCAAGAGTCCCGACTGTGACAAGTAAGTATAACTGTACAAGGAATTATTTGATAAATTGTACGTCACATTATCAACTTATCGAAGATTATGCATATCATACTTAAATGAGTATTAATTAGTTATCTACTGAAATTTATTGCTTTTTTTTTTTGTGGTTTTCAGCATAGGGAATTGAAGCGGGTGACCATCCTATGTTTGATCGTCGATCTGAGAAATAGATCGAGCTGGAGACTGGAGTATGATGGGAGTGAAGTTTTCAGTTGTTTAGCAGTTTTTAGCCACCTTTTTTTTTGTGGCGGGTACTATATTTGGTTTTGAAATTTCTTTGAAATGTGTTGTTTTTAAGCTGATTTTGAATTTTGTGTTCCGATGATATAACGATATGGTACTGTTTTCCTCGTCCGGCGAGTGGCCAACCTACACTACAAGAAAATGAGTCTATGGCAAGGGTTTGGTAGCAGGGGTTCATGAAACCCTTGTTAGTGTTTCCTGAAACTCGCGTAGATGCGGTATATATCAGGGGTTGAGAAACCCTTGCTAGGGATTAAGTAATTAACCAACCATTTCATCTAGTTTTACTGTTTCTATCTTTTCACGGGGCAAAAAAAATTCCAATCCCAAATGTAAAGAAACAAATCCCTAGTCCAGTGCCACTTCCCGCTTCCATCTTCTAATGCTTCTTCGTCCATAGCACAAAAGTTCTAGTCAGCATTCGAGCTTTGCCGATAGCGTCTCCGACGAAGCTAATTCGACGGCGGTTAACGAATTCCACCACGCGAGCTTTGCCGATAGCGTCTCCGACGAAGCTGATTCGACGGGCGGTTAACGAACTCCACCATACGAGCATTGCCGATAGCTTCTCCGACGAAGCTGATTCGACAGGCGGTTAATGAACTCTCTGGTAGCTGTTCGTGAAATTTGATAGAGATTGCAATCTCCGATTGACATCAATTTTAATTCTCTCAATTAGGTTATTCACTCTCTCTCTCTCTCTCTCTCTCTCTCTCTCTCTCTCTCTCTCTCTCTCATATTTTGATCGGAATCAGTACTTCTTGCTTCTTGTTGTGGTAGATAGAACATTCATTCCATGTGAGAGCAGAAGCTAGAAATTCGAAGCAGCAGAAGACGAAGTAACATGGATCGGCTCTCCGATGTCTTTTTGACTCTGGTGCTCGACGTCGACGACAACCAACAAAGGGACGATGCTCTGCTTCTTCGTCTCCTCCCCTTCCAAGCCCGAATCAAATAAAAATTCACTCACTACTCGTCTCAGTTAATGCTTATCCTTGCTATCTACTTGATCCCTTATACATTCTAGGGTTTTACATTATGTTCTGGTTTTTGCTTGCTTAAGTGTAAGTTGTATTTTATAGTTTTTTTTATGTATCTACTAAAGCAGAGGATTCGGTGGGATTTATGTTGTTGGTGGTTGGTGATGGTTAAATTTGTTGTGTGTACAGGAAAGAAGGTAGCGGATGAGATGCAAGATCAGCAGGAAATGGTAACTCCTTTTGTAGAGTACAAAATGCATATTGTCTGATTGACTCCAAAATTACTGGACATTTCTTTTCATGATCCTTTTACTTTGCCGGTATCTTTACTCATCTCCCTGCTTCGTCTGCTACTTGATAGATTAGTCATTTTATACTGCTACTGTTAGCCATTTCCTTATCCTGAACTATTCAGTTATTTGCTATAGGATAGGATGATGATGGAGGTCAATTCGCTAGGGAAAACAGATAAGGACATTGCACAGTGCTTTACTCAGACTCCATTGCAACCAAAGATCATTGAATCTATAAAATCAGCTCATGCCCTTGGGTGGTACTCTTCACCTCCTTGCCAAAACCAGACCCCTTTAGCGATGTGGGTGGAGAATTTGATTGTTTTATTTTTGGTGCAATGTGGTTTGTTCCCCAGATGTGAATTGAGAATCATCAGTGATAGGTAACTTAATTTTGTTTTAGTTATTAGCATTCCAACATATGTTGAGTTCCACATGGTAGGAACCATTCATGGTTGATAATTCATATGTTCAGAGTTTACTCTTCCGTATGTTTGAACATTTTTTAACCTTCATCAGTCAAGCAGCAGAATAAACCAACTAAAACATAGGCATGCCACCACTGACGATACCTTTACCATTACATACAGCAGCTGGGAAGAAGCTTCATTTTGTTCTGGTCATTGATATACAGGTATTATACGCAAATCCTTTCTGGTGTACTGCCATGACATTTCTTTTTTATTTTATTTCTTGTGTAAGAAGCAGTAGCATATAGAGAATTTAGGTAATTAATAGTACTAACCCATGAGCTGGAAGATATTGGGTGATGAGTAGATCATTAGGTTCTCTGTACTTAGAATATTATGAGTCTTGTGTGTTAGAGAAGTATTTTCCTGCACATGAGAAATGATGATGAGCTGAATTATGTTCTCAAGGTAATGGACTTGTTCATAAGGTACAGTTGACGATGATTCTTCATCGATGGTTTTGAGCTGCCAACTTGGTATCCGGTATGTATTAATAATGCCCTCTAAAGCATATCCTGTCACTGTCAATGTAGTCTAGTTCTAAGAAATTCTCATTAGCTCAAGTCAGAGAGCATAAATTCTAAACAACGAGCTTCTACTTGCTGCTTTAAATTGTACAATTACCCGGGTTTTTACTGATTGCAAAATTGATTTCTTAAAGCATATCATTCTGACAGCAGGAGCGGCAGATTCCTAGTACAACCAAGGTGCAAGTGTTCATCAATATCCATAGGTGAATTTCTAAATCTTGACCAAGTCCTGATTTTCATGCTTCAATTGAGTCTCGACTTTCTTTTTGGATCTTTTATAAGTACGCCGAGAAAAGACAAATGTAGTTCATAACATTTCAACTTGATATTGAACCAAATCAGATCATGTATTGTTGACATGAAGTTGTCATTTAGCATCAAACTCTACTGGTCGCTCCCTAATTTGTGTGATGAAGAGTTATAACATAAATATATCTATGTTAAAGTACATTTCTTTCATTGTCTTTCCTGCTAGCTAGCTTAGCTTCTTGTTATGGTTTGTGCAGAGAAATGGGATGGGCACCATGCTGTGACCAAACAAATGTGAAGAAGGGGCCAATGCCACCTGAAGAACATGCTAAGCAGAAGGAGCATATGGGTTATGCTAGTGATCTTTTTTATTTACTCAAGTCGTCTTTAAGAGGTGAGCTCTTGTAGGTCGAGTTATGGTGCTTGTGAGTATGGTTGACTTAAGTCCTAGTCCTCATGATGTTCTCTCTCCTTTTATATGATAACAATAATACCAACATCACTTAAATCTTAATGCAGGGATGAGTTCCTGTCAACTAGAGTTGGGTTGTAGTTCAAGAATAATTGCAGGAACATCTTGATTTGGGAAAGATTGAGAAGGTAATTTCAAAGACAGCATTGCTTAACATTGTTTAATTCAAGTACCTTTGGCCATTTCTAATTGGGTATTGAGGTAAAATTTTCAGAACATAGTCATATGAGTGTCTTTACTTCCCTTCTCCTGTATACCAGAAGACGAGAAACCATGGAGTCAAACCTCAAAATGATTGCACTTTCTTCATTGAAGAAATATTGATGAGGATGCATTGGAGCAAGCTTTGACTGCTGCTGTAACGTGCAAAAGGTCCTATACTACAAAAGGTCCTCTGTCTCTCTCTTTCTCTCTCTGCAGTAACTTGGTGTTTACTTGGCACTAGTGGGTGCCTCTGTTTACCGATTCAGTGCCCCATCCTCTTCTTGAAATCTTTTGACTGAACCATCTCCGAACAATGCCTTAAACCTGCTATGACCAGTCCCTTGTTGTAGTTTCAGGTGTACTTGGAAAGGATCCGGAGGAAACCCGAAATCAATGCATTTTTTGAATAACTGAAGCCACATCAGGTTAGTGATGATGAACTTTTCAACTTGGCAGGTCTTGCATTCATTAGCAATGTGCTTATTTATTATTGGTTGTACTTCAACAGAAAGCACTGTTGCTGGACAACTGCGCGGTCCTTGATCGTGCAATGATCGAGCACAATCTTCTAAGTGCAAGCAAACTATACACTAATATAAGGTTTGTTATTTACCTTATAACTACAATGATCGAGCACAATCTTCTAAGTACAATCATTTTGAGGTTTGACTCCATGGTTCTCTTCTTTTGATATACAGCAGGGGAAGCAAAGACACTCATATGACTATGTTCTGAAAATGATGGTTTGTTATTTACCTGATTCTGTGCTCTCATTCTCATTAATATTTCATGCCTATTAATTCGAAGCTTGTAAGACTTCCAGCTTAGTTTACCTACTCCAATCTTAACGTGCAGGCCTATTTAGATTTCTGTTCGAGCAATTGCTACAGCTCATGATGGATTGAAGGCAAGAGAGTTACCGAAAGAGAGCCCCATAACATAGACATCATTCTATCATATGATGTATTGAATCATGGATATAGTGTACTGTATGATTTGGCTACCCAATAATGATTTGTAGAAAATTTTGCAAGAAAAAGCTTGGTTATGGATTTATCTATAGTGAGAAGAGTATTTGCAACCAAGTTATAGCCACCAATTTTCATGGGTTTTTAGCGACAGTTTTGAGTTTGTTCAAAAATTTTATCAGCCTCTCTTTAGTGACGATTCTGAGTTAGTTGCAATTGATTTAGAGACAAATTAAGCAAGGGTTTTAACCCTTGCTAGTTAGAGCAACGAACTTAGCAGGGGGCTTAACCCCTGATACAAACATCTTACTATTGAATTTTATATTGAATTGTAGCAGGGGTTTAAACTCTTGATACATGTAGCAGGGGTTTTAAACCCTTGCTATAACCCTTGGACGGGACTTTCACCGTGGGTTGTTAAAAACCCTTGCTACACGTAGCAGGGGCAGAATAGGCGAGGGTTCATGCAGGGGTTGGCGAAACCCTTGCTACAACTTGTAGCAGGGGTTAAAACCCTTGCTATAGGTAGAAAAAACCCTTGCCATAGACCCATTTTTTTGTAGTGCTAGGTCACGGCCCAGCCCTCCTTTGGATCTGGAGCTACTATAGCCTTGTGAGTTTATCGATTTTAGTCATTTGGTCCAGTGTTATTTTATAATAAGATTGTGTGAATTTAGGAAAATGAGTCAGATGAACATATTCAAATCACAACTCTAATTTTTGCCTAAAAATTCTAGCTCCAATGACTCTCGTCTGAAGAAAAACAAACAATGAAACCTAAAATTCTAAAAATCTAAACATAAAAGACTAAAAGAAATATGAGGTTTGTTCTTTTGAAAAATTACTAGAGCGGCTTGTGAAAATAAAGATGGATACACAATACAAATTGATTAGTCGATTGATTTGTCTAGTGTTGCATTGCATATTTCAACAACTAATATGGAGAGAACATTTTCAACAACGGAACATGTAAAAAATGATTTGCGCAACAAAATGGGCAATGAATTTCTCGCCGATTGGTTAACTGTTTTATTTGAAAGAGAGTAGTATGCTACTGGTATTGATGTAGACTCCATTATTGATGAATTTGCTATATTAAAAGATCAACGTGTACAATTGATATTATAAAAAAACTATGATTTTTTTTACAATATCTAATTTTTTAATGAAATACAGCTCAGTGCTCTACTATGTCCCGGATCAGCCGTTGGTCCCAACGCGGTTTTATCAGAAAACTGGATTTGCTTCCTCACCCCAAAAAAGTTGTGGTTGAGCCACTACCTTTGTGATTTTTCTTCGGCCTCATCTCGTCCAAAACTCAATTCCCCTCCCTGTCCAAATCCTCAAATTCATCAAAGCCTCACAATCTCCCAATCCATCAAAGCCTCCTCTCCTAACTTTCCCTAACACAACCAGAAGCATACCCCTTGCTGCATGCACCGCCAAGACCAGACCCATTGCACAAACCGTTGATTAGGGTTCCCCATCTTCGCGTCGCCTGGTCGGATCGGGCCACTGGGCCTTCGTGCGTCGCTTGGATAAGAGAGATCAACCACTTGTTGAAAATTAAAGTTTAATTATTAATAAAATAAAAATAAAAAATCTGGAAAGCCTAGAAGATACTAACATGGTAGTTTGCTAGAGGAATTCAGAAATGGTTAGGTTTGCAATTAATAAGTTATTTGTGATTAAACAAAAATCAGAAAAAAGAAGGCCACATGTGTATGGCGGTTGATGCAAATATTTTGTAATAAGCTGGAGATATTGTACACTTTGAAGCCTATAAATAGGTTTGTCCATGTTAGTTTGAGAAGCCGAATAAGAAAGAAGCATAAGCAAATTAGAAAGAAAGAGCCTCTCCTCCAAATTCTCTCTGTCAAGTTTTCTTGTCCCATTTCCCACCAATCAAAGCCTTCCTTTTCCAAACAAATGTGCCCACCAAATAATACAAAGGAAATAATTTATTTATTTTCAACAAAGTGCTATCAGAGCCCGAGTTATTCTTAAGTATGCTCTGTGGTTGCAGCGTAGTCTGAACTTCCACGTCAGAAAAGAATTTCTCGTGTTTTTGTTATCACAATTTTCCTATGGCCGAAAAATCCACTTTCCCCACCTTACCAAAACCAATTACAAAAATTGGTGTATCCATATGAAAGCCTTGCTTGGATCCCAAGATGCTTGGGATATCGTTGAGAAAGGTTATGAGATTCCCGTGGAGGATTCTCGGTTATCTCCTGCTGAAAAGGAGGTATTGAGAAAAAATAAAAAAAGAGTGATCAAAAAGTGTCTTGATTTTCTCCACTCACTCTCATTCATCAGTGTCTTGATGAATCGATGTTCGATCAAATAGCATATGCTACCACAGCAAAGGAAGCATGGGAGATTTTGCAAAAGGAAATGCAAGGTGTGGAACCAGTAAAGAAAGTTCGACTTCAGACACTCAGAGGAGATTTTGAAGCAATGAAGATGAAAGAAGGTGAATCTGTTTCAGATTACACCGCCCGTGTGAAGTCTATCGCCAGCAAACTGAAGCAGTATGGGGAGAAAATTGAAGAGACCGAAGTGGTGGAGAAAATTCTACGGTCATTATTACCGAAGTTCGACTATGTGGTGGTGGTCATGGAGGAAGCTAAGGACGTGTCAAAAATGACGGCTGATGAAGTCATCAGTTCATTACAAGCCAGAGAAGAAAGACTAAATAAAAGAAACGAAGAATCGTCAGAACAAGTGTTAGCCACAAAAGCTACCACAGAGGAGAAAGAAGGTGCCCGAGGAGGAGGTCAGCACAGAGATCGAGGCAGAGGCAACTACAGAGGCAGAGGAAGAGCCCGAGGAGCATATCAAAGTAGAGACGGAGGAAATTTCACCACGAACTATGAAACGTCCACCAGAGGCAGAGGTCGTGATCGTGGACGTGGAAGAGTAAGTTGGAGATCAAATGAAGGTCGTGATAAATCCAGCGTCCAGTGCCATAATTGCTCGAAGTATGGGCATTATGCATCGGAATGTTGGAGTCCGCCTAAAGAAGTGGAGGAGACAGCAAACAACGTGCAAGAAGAAAAAGTCGAAGGCACATTGATGCTTTCGCATCAAGGAGATGAAAAACCGAGAGACAACATGTGGTATATGGATAATGAGCAAGCAACCACATGTGTGGTAAAAGAAATATGTTCGTGGATATGGATGAATCGGTGAAAGGAAATGTCGTATTTGGAGATTCCTCGAAAATTCCTATCAAAGACTGAGGAACTATACTCATTCGGCTCAAGAATGGCTCACAACAATTTATCAGTGATGTGTATTATGTCCCAGACATGACTAGTAACATCCTAAGTTTGGGTCAGCTGATGGAGAAAAATTATGAAGTCCACATGGTGAATCGTCAACTGGAGCTGTTAAATGAGAAGAAGCAGTTGTTGGCCAGAGTACCAATGTGGAGAAACCGAATGTTCACCCTAAACATTCAGACTGATATGGCGAAGTGTTTGAAAGCCTGTGTGAAGAAAAATACATGGCTGTGGCATATGAGGTATGGCCATCTAAATTTTGGAGGTCTGAAATTGCTCGGTCAGAAGAAGATGGTGCATGGTCTGCCAGTGATCAATCATCCAGACCAGTTGTGTGAAGGGTGCTTAGTTGGGAAGCAATTCAGGGCAAGTTTCCCGAAGGAGTCCCTGTCAAGAGCTAAAGCACCACTTGAGCTGGTCCATGTTGATCTCTGTGTCCGATCACTCCAACATCATTTGCCAAGAACAAATACTTCCTATTGTTCATTGATGACTACAGTAGAAAGACATGGGTTTACTTCTTAAAGCAAAACTCAGACACATTTGAAGCTTTCAAGAAGTTCAAGATGCTCGTGGAGAATGAAAGTGGCTGCTACATCAAAGCCATGAGATCAGATAGAGGTGGAGAATTTATGCTCAAGAAGTTCAGAAGGTTCTGTGAATATCAAGGAATTCGCAGGTTTCTCTCAGTCCCAAGGTCCCCACAACATAATGGAGTTGTTGAGAGGAAGAATCGAACTGTACTCAACATGGCGAGAAGCATGATGAAGAGCAAGAACCTACCACAGGAGCTATGGGCTGAAGCTGTTGATTGTGCAGTCTACCTGCTAAATAGGTCACCAACAAAGAGTGTTTGGAATCAAACACCCCAAGAAGCATGGAGTGGAAGGAAACCCAGAATATCTCACCTCCGAGTCTTCGGAAGTGTTGGATATGTGCACGTACCAGATCAAGAAAGGAAGAAGTTGGATGACAAAAGCAAGAAGTACATATTCCTTGGAGACTTAGAACACTCAAAAGGTTACAAAATGTTTGATCACGTGTAAGAGAAGTTGATCATCAGCAGAGACGTGGTAGTTGATGAAGAAGCAACATGGGATTGGACTGCTGAAGCAAAGAAGAATTATACTTTTTATCCATTCACTATGGATGAAAGTGATAATGAACCAGACACAGCTACACATGTGACAAGTCCACCCAGTCACATGGAGCCTGCCAGCCCAGAAGGAGAATCGAGTGAAAGTCCCCGAGAAAGCCCACAGAAGTATAGGAGACTTGAAGAAATTTATGAGGAAACGACAACCATTGAAGGTGATGAATTGACACTCTACTTTCATTTCATTGATAGTGAAACAGTTGATGTTGAAGAAGCCATGAAGGATGAAAAATGGAAGAAAGCTATGGATGAAGAAATTGGAGCAATTGAGAAGAACAAGACTTGGGAGCTTGTGTCACTCCCTGAGAACAAGAAGTCCATCGGTGTGAAGTGGGTATTTAAAGCGAAGAAGAATGCTAAAGGAGAAGTTGCCAGGCACAAAGCAAGATTGGTGGCTAAAGGATATAGTCAGAGACCAGACATTGACTATAATGAAGTTTTTGCTCCTGTAGCGAGAATGGAGGGTATCAGGATGGTGATATCTCTCTCTGCTCAAAATGGATGGAAGATACACCAGATGGATGTGAAGTCAGCTTTTCTCAATGGATATATCGAGGAAGATATCTATGTGGAGCAACCTCCTGGATATGTCATTGAAGGTCAAGAAGATAAGGTGTTCAAGCTGAAAAATGCACTGTATGGTCTGAAACAAGCACCTAGAGCTTGGAATAGCAGGATTGAC